GGCATTCACAAAAAGACTTGGATATATAGATATATTAGTGGTGAATTTCTTAGAGCAAGTTGAGAATAATGTCAATCTGGCACCAATTATTTTAACAAAAACTACCAAATCTTTGAATTTTTATCGACAAGAAAGAAAGGGTCATTTTATAGGTTTCGTACAACTCTTATATGTGTAGATGAAGAGTCACTTTAAAGCCAAAGAGGGCAAATTCCATAAACCTTATCTTGCCTTTAACATTCCTTTAAAAGAATTTTGTAAAATCAAATGGTCGGAATTGAACTCTGAAAAACAATAGATATCCTACTTATGAAATTTGACGAACCAATAAGTAATGTAGAAGGCTCTCTGGATGCCATATGATTTAGTACTTCATAGCTATAGGAACAAACCTTGGGTTTCACTTTTAGGCCTTTAGAGTGTGACCAGTTATGCCCCACTAATGGTGCTGAGATACTTTGGATATGAACAGTTTATACCAATGACGCATGGACTTAATTAGTTAGGCTTTGCATATGGTAAATTGTATTCCATAAAGATGGTAGAAGAGATTGTTCAAGCATAGAAATAAAAAAAAAAAAAGAATGGATCAAGGTAGGCACACTGATAAGATCAACCTAGTATATTTTGTTGGGCTCACTAAGCAAGCTAATGATGTTGTGATTCTTAATGAAGATAGTTCAAGCAGCCCATTTAGTCTAGTTTTTCCAATGCCTTGGGATTTGTTGCTAGAAGTAAAAATTGCAAAGCGAAAGTTACAGAAAGAAAAAGAAGAATTAGAACATGAAAACAAAAAGCTCAAAAAAAAAAATAGAGCAAAGTATACAACAACAATAAAGTAAAATTCAACATATCAGTCAAGATAAAAATGGACAGAAGAATTTGTTCACTGATTTAAACAAGCCACATTCATCTACCACTCAAAAAAATTTGTACAAAAAAATTTGCAAAAGCACAACAAAAACAACAAAATAAAAAAAAACCATAGCCTCTGGTAATGGGGATCTCAGCGTAAAAAACACACAAAAAAGCCATTTTGGCATAAACTTTATATGTTGATCTAGGCCAATTGAGGCTATTTCTAGCAAAATAGAGACCAGATTTGTGTTTAAGGGCTGAAATGAGTCAGCAAGAGTTCTTTTTAGGATTTTTTGGTCATCAATGATGGTGGCCAGTGACTAGCGACGATGGCAGAGGCCAGCCATCTTTTGGCAAGGCTTGAGAAAAGTTTTTTTTATTTGAAGGCTTTTTTTTTAGGAAAATGGGATTGAAATAATTTTAACAAAAGTTCGATTTATATAGAAAAAAATACCTAAAACGACGCCATGTAGGGCCTAGAAAATCTGCGCATGGACCCAATTTTGATCTGCGATCTATGCAACCTAACTAGTGACCCACACCTTCTTCACCCATTGATCGATCCAGCTGAAACCGTTTTGAATCGGACTAGAACTGCTCCGACAGGATTGGACTACCTGTTATTCTTCAGTGTTGACTAGTGAAAAATTAGTTTTTTTTTCTTTTTTATTATTCTATTTTTCTATTTTCTATATTTTTTTAATATTTCTAATTTACAATTTAAGATATCTTAAAAAATAAAATAATAAATATAAAAAAATTTAGGATAATGAATAAGTAACAATAAATAATAATAATAAATAAATTATTAATAAAAAATAAAATCACAAGTGGTGATTTTATTTAAAATATTTACACAAAAAATTTTGTTTAAATATTCTAAAAGTGTTATAAATATTTTAGAATTTTTTTCAAACATAAAAAAATTATTAATAACTATAAAATCACAAATGGTGATTTTATTAAAATATTTACACAAAAAAATTTTCTCAAATATTTTAAAAGTGTTAAAAATATTTTAGAAAATTTCAAATAAAAAAATAATACAAAATAAATTTTAAAATATTTACACAAAGAAATTTTATAAAATATTTTAAAAGTGTTATAAATATTTTAAAACTTTGAAAGCATAAAAAAAACATTATTAATAAAAAATAAAGTCACAAGTAGTGATTTTATTAATATTCAAATAAATAAATTTTCTAAAGTATTTTAAAAGTGTTAGAAATATTTATAATTTTTTAAAAACAAAATAAAATAATAAAATAAGCAATAAATAAACATTACAAATTATATTAAAATTTTCATCAATGATGAAATTAATAAGGAATCACAAGTAGTGATTTTCCTACAAAATTTTGTTTATCATGCCATAGGTGTTTGTATAAGGAAATTATAATCTATTTTCAAAATATTAAAATAAATCTAACAACGGAGTTCCTTCAAGGAAATAAATAAATAATTTCTTGAAATACTTTTGAGGTGAGAAAATTTCTGAAGTTATATTGAAACCGTCAAAAATAACTTAGAAAATTTTTAATATTCAAATAATGAAAATAATAAAAAAATAAAAATGATAAAGTAAAAAGTAAAAAACCATTTGAACAAGACTAATTTAGGATCATATAAGATTAATTGGTACTGTCTTCGATTGGGCACTATGGGAGTGATATAATATTCCCTACATGTAACCATACTTTCGAATTTAACCTCAAATTCGCAAACCAAAAAAATAAGATTGTTGGCCAATCACAGCTCAACAAAAAAGATTGATAGCAACTTCTGATATATTACGTCTAGCGATCAAGTTTTCAGACCGATACGTTATGACATTTATTAAAAGTAAATGCGATAAAACCAAACATATTAAATTTTATTATTTTATATATTATATCATTTTAAAGAATTTTATATATAAAATTCTATTAAATTGTTATATATTTATAAGGAAAGACTTAAATGAAATTCTTTAAATAAAGTTCATAAAGTTTGTTACTAAAAATGACTAAATGAAAACAAAAATTGAAAATCAAAATCAATAGATTAAATGTGCAAAATTTTTTTAAAAAATAATTTTTGATATATTTTTTAGATAGATATTTTTTGTAAAAATGTTAACATAATTTTTACAATTGAATAGGTACCGATAAAATTTGAATTATAAACATTTTTATAGTTGAATTACATATTATTGATATTCAAATTGAACTATATCAATATATTGATTTGAAATTTTTTAATAAAATTTTTATTAAATCTATTTTAAAAAAGAATTTTACAAATTTCACTTAAAAATTTTCACCTAAATTTTGTCCATATTTATGTGTCATGCTCCAAATCTAAAACATAACATACGCCACACACCTATAAAATATAATCTTGCAACATGCAAGCAAACATCATACTAAATCTTACTAAAACTGAGGTCTAACAATATATATATATATATATATATATATATATTTATATATATTTACATATATGTAAATCAAAAAATGTTTTATCTATGATGTCATAGTGTTTAGATTATATTTATTAAGAATCATATAATTAATTTTAGTTATGCGAATATTGTTTATATTGTAGGAAATTTTGTATTTTCTATAGAAAAAAATTCTTAAACTTGTTAATTTTGTTTGGAATTGTTTATAATTAATTTGTATTTCAATTAAATTTACCTCGATTAAAAATTCTGGATCTGTCTAGCTTTTTCTATTTATATGTTGGCTTTGATGTGAAAAGTTAAAGGTAGAGTAATATTGAATATGTTAACATGGAATGCTAAAGATACTGAGAAAAGAAAATTTGCTCTTTTTTCTTTGTTCCTTTTTTTTTTTCTCATTTTTTATTTTCTTTCGCAACTTTAGGTTTTCATTTTATATTTTAAGTTTTTTTTTTTACATTTTTAATATGTAGGAGGGAAGAAAATACTAGACGAAAAATGGAAGAAAAGAAAAAGAGAAAAAAAAGAAAAAAAAAATGTCTTGTTTGTATCATAAAAATTATTTTTTTTGACCATGTCATCATTTTTTATTTTAAATAGATGCCAGATGCCAACATTAATTTTTTGGCCAAGCTACTGACGAGAATGGGCTGTTTTTTTTTTTTTTCAATGGGTATAAAAAAATATAGACATAAAAAATAATTATGATATCCCTAATTATCTTATAATAAAAAAATAAATAAAGCCATTCATTTATTCAATTATGACAAGTTGGAAAAAAGACCCACAACTTTGTAACTAAAAGGGCATTGAGATTTCAAGCGCACCAATCAGAATGACATATATCTACTGTAGCTGTGTTGTCTAATCTCTGAGATGGGAATAAAATTAAGCACTTGAAAACGATAGGTACATGCTAGCTAGGAAACGGTGATCCTCTTAATAAATTCACCATAATATACAGGATTGAACACCCAGAAAACGTATCACATCCCATTTTTTTTCTTCTTTTTTTTACACTTGCGTTACCCAAAACTTGGAATCCAAATGATCCTTTCTCCCAATTGTACAAACAAAAATGTTTAATGTTAGAGTTTCCAGAATTGTTTAGAGATGGCAAAACTGAAACAATCCGTCGCCCAGGGGCCACGTGCAACATGCAATGGCAAAAATTCACTTGGGGTTGGGCTGGCACATAGAGAAAAGCGAGGGAGGCGACTAAAGTCATCCAATATTTAAGACCGTCGTGGAAGTTGGCAGCCTACATAATCTTTAATGCAATTGTACGCTCCCAATTCTGCTCAACTGTTTGTCATCAATGCCTCTTCCATCTCTATTTTTCTCAATCTTTTCACCAAATTATGTGATCCAAGGCCAGCTGCCACTGCTTTTATTTTCACTCACCTGTTTCTTGTTTCATCTTTCATTTCCCTTTTACTTTTGCATCAACATAAAACACACATTGTTGTATATTTGCTTTCATTCCATTTTTCACTTGTTGTTCCCTCCAAATAATGCAATTGAAGCTTTAAGATTTGTTGCTGTGAATCTAGGCTGCTAAGAGTTGAAGTAAAACAACTCCTCAAGTTCACAGTCTTATCTAAATTGGTAACTAACAAGACCAAAAAAGTTGGTATTTCTTTGACTTTTTTTTTTTTTTTTTGGGTGGTGGGGGAGGTGATTTTATCTTTTCTTTTGAACTTTACAGTTGGGTAGATGAACAAACTCAAGACGGAGAAAACAAAGCATATGTTGAGTATTAAGATAATCTCTTTTAGCAGGCTTCAATAAACTCTAAGTGCATATATAGATTCATTCAATAAACTCCAAATCCATATATAGATTCATGAATTATACCCTTCTCTGAATTTTTGTAGTCTTGTTCTGTACAAGACAAATCTCTAGAACTGGTTGGTCTGAAATTCTAATGGAGTGATCAAAGTTAGTTTTGGTTTTGGTAAAAGAATTCACCAATAAGATTTTATTCTTTTGAAGCAAAGACTGATTATTGTAGTTTCTGGAAAGCAAAAGCAACATAAAATCAGAGGAGAGTTGTTTTCAGAAATTGAGGCACTTGATAAATTTTCAGGATAATTTTGGAGCTCATATCATATATACCCTATACTTTATAGAATTAGAGAAATTGGGTTTTCTCTGTTATTGTCGATAAGTTGATTTTTTGTGTTAGTTTTTCTTGGAAGAAGATGGTAGGGAGTATTGACACATTGCACCCAAGTTTGTACTCAGATGGATCTTCTTACAATTGTAATGGTTTGGAAGAGAAACTTGATGAGCTTCGGCGCCTTCTTGGCAAGGGTGCTGATGATCCATTGAGGATTGTAAGTGTGGGAGCAGGGGCTTGGGGCAGTGTTTTCGCAGCTTTGCTGCAAGATAGTTATGGCCAGTTTCGAGAAAAGGTTCAAATCAGGATATGGAGAAGGCCTGGAAAAGCTGTTGACAGAGCCACAGCAGAACATCTATTTGAAGTCATCAATTCAAGGGAAGATGTATTGAGGAGGTTGATCCGGCGTTGTGCTTATCTGAAGTATGTTGAGGCAAGGCTAGGCGATCGCACTCTTTTTGCTGATGAAATTTTGAAAGATGGGTTTTGCTTGAACATGATTGATACACCACTTTGTCCTTTGAAGGTCGTGACTAATTTGCAAGAAGCCGTTTGGGATGCTGATATTGTGGTAAATGGCTTGCCTTCAACTGAAACACGTGAGGTGTTTGAAGAAATCAGTAATTATTGGAAGGAAAGAATCACTGTGCCTATCATTATCTCTTTGTCAAAGGGTATTGAGGCTGCTCTGGAACCTGTTCCTCATATCATTACTCCAACACAAATGATCAATCGAGCAAGTAAGAGTTCTCCTCAATTGTTTGATGCTGATATCTGATAATACTTTGTTATATTTGCCTGGAGGTCAGAAATGCAGACTCCACAATCTGTTTCTGCTACAAGTCACAACTGTTTTTTTGTTAATTTTGTCTACTTTTTCCTCTCAAGTAAACCTTTTATCTATCATGTTTTTTAGCTTTACGCGTATGTTCCTTGCAGCTGGAGTACCTATAGAGAACGTACTGTATCTTGGTGGACCAAATATTGCCTCTGAGATTTACAATAAGGAATATGCTAATGCTAGAATATGTGGAGCCGAAAAGTGGAGGAAACCACTAGCAAAATTTTTAAGACATCCCCATTTCATTGTATGGGACAACAGTGACCTTGTCACTCATGAAGTAATGGGTGGCCTGAAAAATGTCTATGCCATTGGAGCTGGTAAGTACCTTTGTATCTTTTGGCCAATAAAGTTTGTATAATCGACATCAACTGGTAGACCAACACATTTGCAGTGATTTTTCCCCATCCCATGGACTGCCTTTACTGATTATATTAGCCTTCACTAATTATATTATCTTTTCTGGTTTAGTCGCTTCATTTAATTGTCATGGAAGTGATGTAATTGACAAATATTATAGTAATAACCCCCAGGCACGGGCTTCAGGTTGTGACTATAGGGTGGACAAAAAAAATACTGAACCAGCATTGAAGAACTACTCAGTTCAACCTTTCGGATTTAGAAAATCTGAATCATTTGCCAGTTGGTTGGAGATTATTCCTCTTGGTAGCTTGATTAAACTACCAAGTGCCAAGCATGTAGTTGATTAATAGCTGGATAACCTTGCTCTTCGCAGCTCCTAGGCAGCCTCCAGGAACTTTCACTTCTATAATGTTGGAAAGGAAGTTGCCATATAAGAGTATTCTTTTAGATCATATCTATCATCCTCACCTTTGGGACAAAACCACAATTAGCTCTTTGTTTATGACCTAAGGTTGGTACTTTAGTCTCATTAAAGTGGCCGTAGACTGAAATTTTAACCCATTTAATCATCTATATTGACATTAATCTAGCCAACAATAAAAGGTAAAAACAACCTGGTGCGCAAAAAATTAAACTTCAGACTTTCTGAATATATAGTAAGTACTAACTATATATTTGCATCGAAATGAATTTTGTCAGCCTGAAAAGTAAAAAATAAATAAATAAGTGTTGCATGTGATTATTATACATGGGTAACGATGCATGTTTCCTTTTGTTTTTTTGTAAGAAAACACCACATTGGCATAGAATCTATCAACTTGTGCTAACTAAATTTTGTAGCAAAATTAGCAAGTTCTGGTTCTGGGGTTGATAAACTAATCTTCGCCTTTACTGAACTACAGCATTCTAGAATAATGATGAATGAATAGCGAGAAGAGAAGTCATTCCCTTCAGATAGGCATCTTGGGAATATGCATGTTGGTATAGATTACATTTGTAGGGATCTACCTACATTATTAATTTCATGGGACATTTATTCTGTAACCAAAAAAATATTAAAGCTCTGTGTTTATGAAACTTGGAGACTATTGAGTTGTCCAATGAACTAATCTTCATGATTTCTGATGGAGATAACTTCACAGGAAATATTTTCATCTGAAGTTTCGATTATAAAGTTTCTAGGATCTAGATGAGTGAACGATTTGTCATATGTCCTTTAGAAACAAGGTTCTCGACAGAGGGTTTTAAGCATAGAAAAGACAACACCGGTCAATATTGCATATGGAAAAAGGAACCCATTGCTTGATCTGTCAAGGATGAACAATCAGACAACACTGAGTAATCGGCAAGTTATTCTTGATAATCCCCTCATCCTAAACACATCGATGAAGAATTGGAATGCAGATTTATAAAGGAGGTTTCCTGATTGATATGTAGATAGGTTAAACATTGTTTATATATGCTTAAGGAAGAACCTTGACGAAGCTAAATCTTTAATTTCAATTTAAGAACTACCCAACCTGGAAATGATCTAACCGTATAAGTTCAAAAGATATACTGTTTTAAATTTTGGAACAACATAATGACTTTCAAGTTTGATTTTCTCAGGAATGGTGGCAGCCCTGACCAATGAGAGTGCCACCAGTAAATCAGTATATTTTGCACATTGTACATCAGAAATGATTTTTATTACTCATTTGTTGGCCGAAGAACCTGAGAAGCTTGCAGGCCCTTTGCTGGCTGACACTTATGTAACTTTGTTAAAAGGTCGCAATGCATGGTATGGCCAAATGCTAGCCAAAGGAGAATTAAGTCGAGATATGGGTGATAACATCAGAGGAAAAGGAATGATTCAGGTACAAAATGTTTTTTTGAGCTTCTTATTTTACAATTGTATTCAGTGAGTGCAATTGATGGTCTGAAATTGTCTTGTTTAGAGTGTGGCAGTACTTCAGGGTTATTATTTTATTTAGTTATTCACTCCTGGCAGAATTACTTCAATTTGCTATATTAATTTGGATCACTTCACTTAAATTTTCATTGCTTTAAGGGGGCAGGAAATAGTCACAGCTGTTTCCTTTTTTCATCCTTTTTTTTTTTTCTGGAGAGGTGGCTGTACCCACTACAATATTTTGGTTAATCAATGGGATGCTGGACTTCAAAATATTTTGGAACACTTAGCATTTAAAGCCTATTTCATGCTGAATGTTGATGACCATTTTTTATTTCCTTCAGTTTCAGTCTTTCAGATGCAAGATAGTGAATTGCATTTATCTAAAATAAAAAGTTATGCTAGTGATTGTCAGCATCTCTGTTGGCTCTAGTTCGGTAGCAATGATATGGAATCACTTTTGCTTGATCGGCTTCTCCTTTTATTCCTAACCCGTTAATGGTTCTGCATCATGCTTATGCCATTAACTGCTTCTGTAGAACATATTATCAAGAGAAGGATGTCTTATTGCCCCATATGTTCAGTGTTCCAGCTTAATCGGTACCTAAACAATGTGTTTATAGAAAATGATAAACAAATAATCTCGTTAGTTAAATTTCCAAAATTCACAACTGGTTTTGAGGTTGGAATTTAAAGTGTTTGTTCTTAATAATCAAAGTGAAAATCTTGGAAAAGAAAGAACCAGAAAAGGTGAATGATCCATTGTGGCATGTCATAATTGTGCATATCTACGCAGATATTGCAGAAAACTGATGAAGGTCAAACCAATTAGCATAATAACCAACAATTTGTTGTTTCAGCTACGACTGAAATTGCATGTATCCATTTGATTATTGGAAAACAAATTTAACCAATGTTAATTCCTTTCCAGGGTGTCTCTGCAGTAGGAGCATTTTATGAACTTCTGAGTCAATCAAGCTTAAGTGTGTTGCATCCTGATGGAAACAAGCCCGTTGCTCCTGTTGAGTTGTGCCCTATATTGAAAACACTGTACAAAATTCTTATAACAAGGTAATTTCTTATTCATCAATAGGCTCATTGGAGACAAGAACTTCAATAGTAACCTAAATTTAGAACTTCAATAGTAACCTAAAATTACTTTTCAGCCTGGAATAGTAACCTAAATTTACAAATAACAAGATTTATTATATATAGACATTAAATTCTTACCTGGATAGAGAGCACAAGAAAAAAAAAAGGGTTGGCATATACCTTCAAATATGTTTTGCTATATATTGTTTTAATACCTCACTGAAACCTGAAAACCCAAGTCTATTGCAAGCACATAAACTATGTCTAGATTTTTCTATCCCTTGACCAATTTGTACTCGCATAGTTTTCAATGATCAAAAAGTCCAATGCTAAGCTTGTCATATATTTTGAATCTCTAGGGAGAAGTCATCTCAAGCTATCCTTCAGGCACTGAGAGATGAAACCTTGACTGATCCCCGAGACCGCATTGAGATTGCGCAGAGCCATGCATTCTACAGACCTTCACTCCTTGGCCAGCCTTGACAAGTTTGCACAGAAAATTCAAGTTTAAAGAAGACTAATCGGAAAGCAATCGTTTCAGAGAGAATCATGGTGGTTTTGTATGTAATGAATAATACCTCTTCCAAAATATACATATTAAAAGTTTGATTGATGAAAATTGTTTGATCAGTTTTCAAGAAGAATAATAATTTAGACAGGAGACACTTTGATTTTTATATAAACGGTTCTGATACTTCATGAGGTTTCCAATTCTCTTTTTGTATATAGACCAAGTATATATTCTAATCGTAAATTCTTAGTACAACATGAATATCTGTAAACAACACAACATGCAACTACTACAATGAAAATAATGGCAACAGCAACCAGAATCCTGGTTTTGTATAATAAAAACAAAAATAAAATAGTTGAAAATTTGAACTTTATTATAAAATGTATATATTTCAAAAAACTACAGCTATATTAACTTATGTTTAACATCAGTCATCGGTAATCAGACAGATAAGAGCATTCCACGACCTTCAGCACTTGGTTTTGCGACTTGCAACGGCTGCTTCTTTTTCAATACATGTTTTCAAATTAATAAGCCGTATGGGATATAGGTCTAACAAAGATCTTGTTGAAGGGATCAGACTAGAAACACCTGATTTGTCTGTGGTGGGAGAATGAAAAAGAAAGGATTTAATTTCAGGTTTGTGATGTGAACTTTGAAGCACGCTAGCGTGAAGCAGATGATAGTTGAAGACTTCCCCGATTGTATCCAAGCCCAACGTTTTACTTGCTTCTGAAAATATAACTACCACAATGAATGAAAGGCTGATTTACTCAAAAATGCTTGTTCAACTCTGGAATAGCCGTTAGTGAATCACTATTAAAACACTATCATAACTTTTCAGGCTGATTTTACTCAAAATTGCTTGTTCAGCTCTTTACATCCCACCATCATTATTTAAGTATGTGGATTTTACCCAAACACAGTATTTTTTTTTTTTTTTTACTCAAATGAAAGTGGGAATGATATTAAATTTTGAGGATGAAGACGAGGATGTGTATAATTTTAAATTTTTATCAATATAGGAGCATGTAATTAGGGATTTAAATAACGGTCGCAGTCACATTTTTTATCGTATCGTATTTATCGTATTTTTTAATATAATAAAAATTATTAAGGTCATTGCGGTCGTGAGTTTTTTTTTTTTTTAATTTCATACAATTTATTATAACATGTAATAATTATAATTATAATCATAAAAATTCTTATTTAATGATTTTAATAATAGTTTATTACACTCTATATTTTTTATTTTCTAAAAAATTATGTACAATTTTATTTAGATTATAATAAAGCATTAATATTTGGTTTAGCAACAAAATTTTTGTTTGAGCCAAGTTCATATTCAGTATTAACTCTAGTCAAATCAAATATTAACAAAACATAATATGTTAAATACCAAGCATTTATATTCAATAAAATTATAAACTTAAAAATATAATAATTTTAAATTCCATCAACTATAATTATTAATATATATTTTAAATTTTACCATATGGTAGAATGACAATGAGGATCAAATTCTCTATCTTCACTATGAGAGCCAAGTTAACTCCATCCCTTCCCTATGGCCTTTCTTCTTGATACATTTGAGATGGAGAATATATTTAAGGAAGATACATTTGTGGTGGGAGATATATTTGAGGTGGAGGATACATTTAAGGTGGATAATAACCATATAGAAGTGCATAACCATAAAAAGGTTAAAAATTAGGTTGTTCTAGTGGATTAGTAATGTCCTTGAGTACTAAATGATTCATTATACTCAAAGTTATTAGAATTTGATCTTCTACCTGAAGATAAAGAACCTCTAGAAACATCATAGTGGTGCTTCTTGGTTGTTCCTTTTAATCAAGTTGTACGTGCACTTTGAACCCCATTAGATTCAGCATATGGATTTATTTCGTATGCTACCATGTTAATGAAAAGTCTACCAGTAGCAACAAGCCCAAGTTCTCCTTCAAATAGGTTGTAAGGTTGATTCGCATCCATATTACCACCAAAATTCACATCATCATCATCTAGATTTAACCCCCACCATCATCACTCTGACTTGGTGTTAGACTTGAACTTAAATCAAACACATTCTTTTCTTGAGATTGGTGTGACTGTTCAACATTCATTTCATTATCAGAATTATCTATAAGGAACCATTCAAAGTTTTGACCATCTAATAAAGGATTTTTTTTTCTTACAGCCATTCTGTTAGTGAATCATCATCTTCAAAAATTTGGTTAATGCTAATAGGATTAAAACTATAATTTATCCCATCAATGTTAATTCTTTTCTGATGTCTCATCCTCAACCTCATATTTTTATAAGTATATATAAGTTTCTGAAGTCTTTTAAACTTCAATCTGTTTCTTGCTTTGGTGTGCATATAACTAAATGTACTTCAATTACATTCACAATTTGATACAGATGTTGTTTGACTAAGCACTTTGATTGCTAGTTTTTGTAATTCAGGAACACAAGTGCCATATATTATCCACCATTCAGCTGTATAAATTATTTAAATTAAATTTGAATGTGCTATACAATTAAATAATATAAATAAATTATAATTATGGAATTTACTATTTATCTGAATTCATTTGCTTCCAAGCTCTTTGTGCTTGTGGAGTACTAAATGTTTCATACTTGTCTTAAAATAATAGCAACTATGTCGATTGAAAATACAATAATAAATGAATAAATAAAAAATAATTCTATTTTTAATATATAAAATAAATGTCAAAGTTATAAAATAGTATTAAATACTAACCCGATTAATCATTCTGATTTGAGTATCTATAGAAGATTTTAATCTTTCAATAATTGTTCTTATACCTTGTAATATTTCTTTAAATACATTTGTAGAATGCTTCACTCCAAATTGAAATTGTGGATTTAGATAGTAACCTAAATATAATTCATAACAATATTATATTAAAATGATAAAAATAAATAAATATATAAGCAATTTAAGCATAAAAAATAAACATATTTTTTAAATATAATCTATATTCTTGGTTTACTTACTAGCTGAATGTAAGTTAGAATACATGAAACTCTATTTATTACAAATAATCTTTTCATATTCAGCAGAATAACGACAATTTGTTGAATTGCTTGTTTATCTCTATCCACAGCTTCGTAAATAAAGCCCATTGTTGGTTTTTCATCATCATCCACAAAGTACAACACTTTTACCAAAGGCTCATAAACTTTTATTATATCGCTTGCTTTTTTTTCAAAAATCTTCCCTAAAATGATTTTTTTTTGGCTTCATAAACAAGCTCTCACTTTTGTTGTCTCCATTTTTATTCTTTAAATTCATATATATTCATCAACAAATTTTTAGAGTAATATATTTAAATTAATATTTTAAACAATTATATCATAAAAAGATGCTAGATTTAAATAGTTGTACTAATTACTAAGTACTAACCTTTGAATTGAACATTTCTTTCAAACCTTGCTTTTGTCTTGTTATTTTTTCTAACTATATAAAATAAGTGGCAAATTGGGTAAGAGCAGGATGAAGTATTTGCTTCTCTTGTGTATATTTCTCCATCAAATTAACAGTCCAAATGTGATTGTTTATAAAACAAGTCACTTTCTTTGCATTGTCCAAAACCTTTGCCACAGTTTTTTTGTCAATATCCTCAATACGCAAGTCCAAACAATGAGCTAAATATGCTGTCTAATACAAATATTTTCTCTTCTCCATTAGTCTTTTCCCTACAACCAGTGCTATCTCATTATTAGTGACTATTTAATCAATGTATTTTTTTCTAATTTCTTCCACAACTTCATCCAATAATTTATAGTAAAAGCTTGCATATCTACTACAAACATTGGAGACATCTATAGATTTTCAAAAAATGGTTCATTTACTACAGTAAACAAGAAAATTAATGATATGCATTTGTTCAAACTGTTGGTCCAACCATCACACATCAAAGTGGCACTTAATTCAATCCAATTAGCTTTTAATCTATTAACTCATTCATGAATTTGTTGATACTCAAACTCTAAATACATATATGAGACCTCATAAGGTGTTGAAAGTTTTACATGTTGGCTAACTTCTGCTGCCATAGAAATCAAATTATATTACCATAGAGAGTTTGCTAATTGAAAAGAAAGTCAATCATATATAAAAAATTTTGATATTAATTCACCCATTTTTCTTCTTAATGTCTTTAAAAATGAATCACTTATTTTTTGTTGCTTTAAAATCTTACTTTTAACCAATTCAAGTATAGCTCCCGTTAATGAAAATTCAAACTCATTTGGAGTTGATTTCCTTGTTCAACAACTGAGCCATGAGAGTTTCATCCCTCTTCATATATGTTACTCCAACCATTAGTTCTTTGTCTGAATTCTTATCTTCTGTGCTACTCATGTTGTGATTGGATACTATCTCATATGGCTTATCTAGTAGCAGTGTCTTTATAAATAAATCTTTTATAATCATAATCTTCCCTTTTAATTATGGTACGAATTCATCTTTTCTCCTTTTATTGTCAACTTTCTTTGATTTGCTTTCTTGAATGAGTTTCATCATATTTTCTCTTACTCTATCTATTAATAATATAGATAAAAAAATGGGAAAAATTAGTTGCACATGCTTATATAATTTTATAATTTTTATTGAAAAATTAACAATAATTTTTCAAAGGAATTATAAAAGCATAACATATCAGTAACATTGAGATATAGTGCAACATTGTCAGTTTTATGAGCAATGTATTCCTTAAAATGTGTTATTCTTTATTTTATAACTTTACCACAAAGTTTGCATGAAACATTTTCTTTTGTATTTGGCATAAGTGTTCCAAAATACCAACCTATGTCATCACTTAGCGCGCTCTCTATTCTTATATTCGGGAACTCTTCACATGGTGGCATTGTTGCTATTTTATATAAAAATAAAATAAACTTATATTTAGAAATATTAATGTATTTATTCCATCATTAAAAATTGAATCTATGTTAAATTTTTAAATTTTTAGTTTTTAATCTTAAGAGTAATAGATTATAAAACGCTCAATTTATTAAGTAACTTTATCTTTTTTAACACTAATTAATGGAAAAAAATTTTTATCACAAATTACTTTCAATATATTATATAATAAATAGAATCTTTAATAATTACACAAAAATAATAATAAATTAATAAAAAATAATCTAATAGCAAAAGAATTGACAATAACATAAATACCAAAATGACAAAAAAATATTAAATTTCAAATACAAAATATAAATAATAAACAACAAAATCAAAATATAATATTTAATTTTAATTATTTTTCATCTAACTTATACAAAAAATTTATCAAAATTTTTCATCTAAAATCTCTATATATATCATATTAAATTACTAATCCCTTAATTTTTTCAATTATAAATTTCAATCCCTCTAACTAGATTTTAGCTAAAAAAATTCAAAATTTAAAAATTTTCAAAATTATATTTTAATAAAATTAATTACAAAATTAAATAAAAAAACTCACCTTACCCACTTCACTCATCCTATTCCACTCACCCGTCCTACTCCAACAACACACCCCAAATTTCCCCCAAATTTTGGTTACCAAATTACCTTCTCTTCAAATCTTCTTCTTGGCCTCAGGCTAAGCCTCCCTCAAGTCAACCTTTTTCAAGCCTTCTTATTCTCTTCTATTTCTTTGTATCTCTCACTCTCTTTTGCGTCTCCCTCTTCTTCCAATCTCTCTACTCTCTCATAACTTGCTCCATAAAACCCAATCCTTATTTGGTCTCTTAAGTCTCAACTCTTTCTTCCACACACCCATCAACCTTCGTCACTGTCATAGTGTCATTACCTACAGAGTACCTCACCTTTGTCTCTTTCAAATTCTTACAAAGATTGATATTATTTTACAAAAAAATTTACAAGAAAAGAAAAACGTAATTTAATTTTCTCTTACCTTCTTTGATCTTGATTGTTAATTAAAGACTTGAAGTTGATTTGAATTTGGGTAATTTGCATATTGATCTAGGGTTACTACCGATTGAATGGTTGATAAATGATTTTATACTATTTTCTAACTTTTTTTAGACTAATTTTGAAATTGAGACTGAGTTATCTTTTTTGCTTTTGCTTTTACTTTTGTAGTCTTATTAATTGCTTTATTTTGATTCTTGACAGATTGTGTTGAAGTTTTAGTTTTTTTTTTTTAAACTTGAACTAGTGATGGGAAAAATAGGGATAGCAGCAATAACGAACTTTTATTGCCGCTATTCCCCGTTACATCATTTTTTAGCGTTCTCTACGCACCGTTTCGAGTGTGATTGAATTTTTTAACCGTATTTTTTTCAATATCGGTGGTGGCATTACAGTAATTTTACGACCACTATTCTGCTATAAAATCACTATTTAATTCCCTGCATGTAATATAGTATTCATCTCCTAACTGTCACTATTCTGCTATAAAATCATTATTTAATTCCCTACATGTAATATAGTATTCATCTCTATTATACTAAAAACCTAAGCCAAGCCATCTCTATTATAAGTGACAAAATATGTATGAGATCTCTTTCATTTCTGTTTCTATGTAAAGCCTCATTATTTTTTATCTTTTCTTTCTCTTTTTTTTTTTTTCAAAAGGACCCTCCGTTTCTTTACCAAGGACCAAAAGTTTATATTTTCCTTCAATATTTTTATAGTCAAGTTTCATTAACATGGTTCTTTTTCATTATTTGACATTTTTAGCCATAAAACGTGAAACTTCAAAGTTCTTATATGTAAATTGCATAGATAGTGAGTAAGGCTAGAATATGAAGCTTTAAGCTTTAATAACAGTTACATATGGTAGAGAAAAAAAATATAACATGAAATGAAATGCATAAGAGAGGGCAAATAAACATGAAAATAAAAAAAAATTAATGCATATGTTTCACTTTAAAAAAAAACCAAGAAATACAGAGGTAGCCCTAAGCTTTTTTAGCATCAAACCTAATAAACCAAAAATCAATAGTATACTGAGCCCTTCGATAACAGAAATAAAGCCTAGTTTTTAAAAGAACTAGTCCTATTCTTTTTTTTTATATATACTTTTGAGTTTCTTTTAGCTTCCAAATAAAAAAAAAAAGATCAGAACTGAAATATTCTTCATTTGACAGAACTGAGACTATTTTCTTCTAACAAAATTTTCTTTCATTCTTTATAGAAAAAAAAGCATGGCTTTTAAACCAATAAAAAAACTCTCAGGTGAACAAAAACTGAGCTAAATACTTAAGTCAAATTATAAAAGAGTGAATGAGGCTTTCTAGATGTTAGGATGCCCTCTTTCCTATATAAGGCATTTTTCATTTTCTCAAACTTTGTTTTTTAATTTTTTTTTTACCGAGACTTACATTTTGTTTTACATCAGGAATGAGGAAAGAGTTATAAAATTGCTATCAACATTGTAAAAGAAATACCTTGCAGAAGAAAACACAGAATAAAAAAAAAAAAGCTCCAAGTTTTCTCAAAAAAAAAAAAGAAAAGATTATGGGAAAGCTACCTACTTTTATGGCTATCTATGGTTGTTCTTTGAAAATCTTGTTTTCTGCTACCTCGTCAAAGCCTTTCTTCCTTTTTGTTTCTAGTTTTGCAACTCTCTTTCTTTTTTCTATTTTAGGTTTGCTTGAATGCTTTCCTTTTTCTCTCCACTATCAGTTGCAGACCCTGTTTGTTTGTTTTCTTTACTGTAGGTTTTTTACCTCCTTTTTTTGTGCCATCAGACACCACTCTCCATTTCCTTTTGTCCCCTTATTATAGCCTTTAATTTTCTTGTTCTTTTCACGCAAATCACCTATGCATGTGGCTGAATGTCTCATGCATGCATCCTTCTCGTTAAAAAAATATGGGCTTTCTTTCTTTATCTTTTATTTTTCGATTGTTTTGTACTCTCATTTTTTAAGTTTGGACTTCTTTTTTGTTTTAGGTTTTGGGCTCCTTTTCGGGCCACATTTGGGCTTTCTAATTCCATTAATCCAACATTAAATTAAATCGGACCTCAATCCATGCGAAATAAACTCGAATATTTAGTACGAAATCAAATTACTTAAATTGCTCAAAATTGATATGTCTAAACCTAAATCGCAATCAAAAGTGATTACTTTGTTCTAAACAAAATTAAGTGTTTATAATTAGGAATGAGGATGGAAAATATTTTATCCTCCACATCCCTTATACATGGACATTAATATCACTAATAGACCATATGTCAAATAACTAAGAAGAGGCTATCAATTTTTTTATCTAAAATTATCAAAATTTGATTTTTAATAATTAAAATTAAAAGTTAAGTTATCAACAAATCATATAACAGTTGACAAAAAAAAATTATCCATTTAGTAAAATATTAATTCTTATAATAGATAATTGCTCCAATAAGAGATTTAATTAAATAAAAAGTTATTTCGTTCTTATAAAGAGGCAATTTTAGCCTTTAATTGCTTAAGATATGGCATAAGCAATTGGGTTTAAATGTTTACAAGGTTATTGGATAAATTATCGGTGTACAAATTATTAGTGTATAAATTTTTTGTTATTAGTCAATTATATAATTTTGTTTTATTAATGAAAAAAATTTTATTTTAAAAATTTTTATACTATTTTTTTAAAGTTTATAAAATTTTATATTTACATGAAAATATATAAAATTTATGTATTTTAATATATCAAATATAAAATAATTCATATTTTTGGTATGTTTGTTGGTATATACGTAAATGGTATTTAAAAAAAATATGTTTTGGCCATACAAGCCAATAATAGCGTGAAGTATGCTCTGAAGAGAATCCTTAAATTCGCTTTCAAGGTTTGCTTTAGGTTTTAGGGTTTCAGTCACACTTTCAAGTCAATAGAACCAAATATGGCGAGTGAAGAGCTCCTCAAGCCTTTCTACCAGAGAGCCATCCAAGCCGAGGTTTTGATTATTTTCCTTTTACGTTTTTGTAAACAAAGTCTTGCTTTATATTTTGCTATTAGAAATTTTTCTTAAATGATTAATCTTGTTAAAGTAACTGAATTGTTCCAATAGAACTAAGTTTTTTCTCTAATTCTGGATAAAGGGTTCTCGTTTAATCTGCATTTTTTTTTTTGAGGTTTGAATTGCACCCAATTTTGTTGTCATACAGCAATTCCGTTTAGGAAAATTTTGGGCAATTCTCATACAGCAATTTCATTTTCACCAGCAGTGGAGTTCCATGGATAATTAGTTTATTAGTGGGTTATGAACAGATGATTCTGCCATTGCTGTCTTTTGAGCAATCATGTAAACTGCTTTGGCCTGATTTTAACCTTGTGAAACAAATAAATCTCTGCTTTTAGAGCCTGCTGCTTTATGTCCGTAGCTTGTAACTTTGTGGGATATCTTTCTAGTTGTCCACAAACTTGACTTCTGGGCTAGCTCTCTGTTTAGCAATGAAAATACACGAGGCTTAAAAGTACCTCATATTCTCATACTAGTGATTTGCCCATAGTTTCTGACTTACCTTGTTGAATTATCAGAATTTTTTGAACTTTTTGTTTCTTTGAAGGTCTGCCTATTAATGCTTTTAACTAATTGTGATTTTCAATATCAGTCAATAAACATTTGGCTTTTTCTCTTTTTTTTTTTTTTAATATTGCATCCTGTATCTTGCTAACTTTTTTTTTTTATATTAAAGGAACGGTTATCCAGACTTGAAGCTGTTCTAGCAGACAAGAAAGGTAATGATCTAGGCATTCCGTTTGACAACTGATTTATTCTACATAAATTAAGATTCTAATGAGGTTACTTAAATATTTGCCATATAGATGATGGAAATCAGGAAGTTTCCAAATTAATAAGTGAACTACAAGCAAAGATAGAAGATGCAAATGCTGAGACACGTTCAGAGCGAGAAAAGGTAGTTGAACTTTGTCATATTTTATGGACAACAATAGAGTTTATAGCATTCCGATTTGTTACTTGTAGGCTAAGAAGCTGGCGGTGGAAAATGAAAAACTCAAATATCGCATTGCCCATCTTGTCCAAGCAGTTAGGGAGGCTGATCAGAAGTTAGAGAGTATGAGAGGTAACAATTGAAAACTTTTGTGCTGACTTTGAAGCATATATGTTATCAAATTGAGTTACAACCAGAAAGTCAGAAACCATATACAAGTAATTTATTCTACATAAATTAAGATTCTAATGAGGTTACTTAAATATTTGCCATATAGATGATGGAAATCAGGAAGTTTCCAAATTAATAAGTGAACTACAAGCAAAGATAGAAGATGCAAATGCTGAGACACGTTCAGAGCGAGAAAAGGTAGTTGAACTTTGTCATATTCTATGGACAACAATAGAGTTTATAGCATTCCGATTTGTTACTTGTAGGCTAAGAAGCTGGCTGTGGAAAATGAAAAACTCAAATATCGCATTGCCCATCTTGTCCAAGCAGTTAGGGAGGCTGATCAGAAGTTAGAGAGTATGAGAGGTAACAATTGAAAACTTTTGTGCTGACTTTGAAGCATATATGTTATCAAATTGAGTTACAACCAGAAAGTCAGAAACCATATACAAGTAATTTATTCTACATAAATTAAGATTCTAATGAGGTTACTTAAATATTTGCCATATAGATGATGGAAATCAGGAAGTTTCCAAATTAATAAGTGAACTGCAAGCAAAGATAGAAGATGCAAATGCTGAGACACGTTCAGAGCGAGATAAGGTAGTTGAACTTTGTCATATTTTATGGACAACAATAGAGTTTATAGCATTCCGATTTGTTACTTGTAGGCTAAGAAGCTGGCTGTGGAAAATGAAAAACTCAAATATCGCATTGCCCATCTTGTCCAAACAGTTAGGGAGGCTGATCAGAAGTTAGAGAGTATGAGAGGTAACAATTGAAAACTTTTGTGCTGACTTTGAAGCATATATGTTATCAAATTGAGTTACAACCAGATAGTCGGAAACCATATACAAGTAATTTTGGGTATAGGGCTGCCAAAAAATAGATTACTTGTAGCTCTAGAATAGATTAGATTTTTGAGAATATGCTTATTATGATGTTTTAATTCTTGTATAGGTTGATTTAAGGTGAAAGCAGGTGCAGTTGAATTCCAAAATTCTCTTTTGACGTTATTTCAATCTGATTATTTGGGTCATTATAATCGGTTATAATAACTAGAAGAAGTAAAATGACATTGCAAGTAAAGATATTAAAATCAAATTCTCAAAAAACCATTATTTTTGGTGAGGATGGGGATGGAAAGGAGAAAGGTATGGAGAATATAAAAGCCAAATCTTAGATTCCGAGAAATTATTTTGTTGAGCACTGAAATAATACTCATTCTCCAAAGTTCTTCTGCTTACCAATCCTCTTCTTGGCTCCTGAAATAGCATGAGGATCATACTTGCCTAATCAGTCATGTCTGCTTCTTTTTTCTTCATTTCTTCGGTGGTTGTTTTGATAATTCCACTTTCAGTCATGCTATACATTGGTCAAATCTTGCTGATACAGTCCTTTGATGTCATCAGGTCATGTTTCAGAAGCAACGGCACAAACATCATCAAAGTTGGAGAACATGAGATTGTGAGTTTGGTCCTTCAGGATTGACATTTAGCTGAGATAAAGTCTGGTACTTTGTCACTAAAGAATGCTATATATAGTTCACATGTTTCTGTTGAAAGTGGTCTGATTATAACTCTGCAAGGCAAGACACCTGTAAACGTTTGCCTTTTGAATTTATATAACCATTTGGATTGATATGGTACTTAGGAGGGAAAAAAAAAACATGAAAGAAAATGCCCTTTTCTTTGAAATTCAGGTTTTGAGAAGTCCTGAATATGTGGAACTCTGTAGAAAGTCCTTTGGATATGGGATGAGGCAGTATTGATGTAAGCAAGTAAAAAGAGATATCAACGAGTAGGGATGATAACAGTTTCGATTAAGTTATTTTTGGTTAATATATAATATTATAAATTTTCAAAAACAGACTCGAATTCATATCAAACTTCTTTTGAAATTAATTCAATTCAAATTCTATTGATTCGGTTCAATTTATCTAATTTTAAAATGATTTTTTTTTAATTTTTTGATATTATTTTATAAGTTTTAATATATTTCAATAAATTTAAATATAAAACAATTACTTTTATTTTTATAAAAATTTTAAACATATATAAATTAATAAAATTATATAATTCAGTAAGAATATTTTTTTATTTTTTTCATTTTTTGATTCGACTATCAGTAAGGTTTTTTTTTTTAATTCAGCCTTAACAATGAAAGCTGGATCCGATTAGTGCTGTGGCATGTTAAGGAGGAAGGAGCCAAGAAGAAATTAGTAAGAAATAAGATGATAGGATTAGGAATTTGATACCATTTACAAGGGGGGTGCGAAAAGGATCTATGTATAAAAGATTACGAAAGCTATATATGTATATATCTATAAGTGGATTGGAGGACAAAAGGAAAGAGAGAGAAAGTGTAAAAGAGAGAGGGTGTGAAGAATTGGCCTCCTCGAGCTTAGGTACAATGAGGCTTTAAATAGAAAAATTCTAACCTATGAATAGTAATTTTGTACAGTTGTTCGTTACAGTGTACAGTAGAATTTTTATCTACAATACCGTTACAGTGACTTGCTACAGTGTCTTTCGTAGTAGGTCTCTGTCTTTTCTGCTACAGTGACGTTTTATCTTCTGCTACAGTGATTGCTACAGTTAACTGCTACAGTGTTTTCTGTCTGCTAGTCATTGGCGTCGAATGGAGTTTTATCTTTTGTGTCGGCTGTCTGTTCTGGCTTATTCTGAATTAGAATTTGCACAGTTTATCCTTCCATAGCATTGGTTAAGTTATGAAATTCTTCATCCAGTGCGTTAAGGGATTGGGGTGATTGTGGAGATCTTGAATGTGATTTGTTTCACATCTGCCATCCTTCTTGATACTGGTATAGTAGATCAGTTGGATGATCCAGATCTTCCATTTTAGATAATTTATCCAAAAGCTCAATTGCTTCTGGTGCATTTTCGATATCAAGATCTTCATGTGGTTCAATGAATCTTTTAACAAAAATGCGTCTGTCATCTGTCCAACAGGTTATTTTTGGATAGTCTTGTTTGGTGGCTAAATGGAAAAAGAATTTTGCTTTATCCATAAGGTCAGTTCTTGTTTGGAAGTGATAAGAGTTTGGGTTGGTATATTTAGAGATGATTTTGTTTAAATCATCAGAGAATTCGATGTGGTCTGTGGGTGGATCCAGTATATCATATGGTTGAAGAAAGTGTCCACCTGATACAGTATCAAATTCTCATATTTGGTAGGGTTGATAAAATCTTTCTCGTTGAAAGGTACCCAAAAAATTGTATATAGTAAAATGAACGTAAAAAAGGTGTTTTGACCATTTTATACATTCAATAAAGCGGTGCTTTATAAAAGCTAGAAAATCCTTTAAAAGGTGAAAAGAATAATTTTGTACAGTTATTTGTCCAACTAAATCAAGTTCAATATTTTTTATATCAAAACTCTCGTGGTCAAGTCGAAACTTTAGTTTAGGTATATACTCACCAAAAGATGTATTATACATATACGTAGAAGTATAATAATCTGAAAACTTTTCAACCAACAGTTTTTCTGTTGACTGTGAAATAGAAAAATTAATTTGCTGAAATAATTATTGGGTTAAGAATACTGCAGCTTTTTCGAAAAGAAGAATTTTTTTAAGCTTTTTAGCTTAGAAGAAATAAAATTATCTTTCTCAAAATATTCACATAAATTTAAGAAATTGTTTATCTCTTGAAGATTGTACTGATTTTCTTCCAAAGCAAAGAAATCAATATCTTGTTGTTTTAGCAGATTTGTTGATAGAAGACTTTGGAAAGCTATTTCTTTAAAATTCTGAAATTCTTTAGCCTGTTTGACTAAGAACTCAGCTAAGTTGATCATCCATTTTCGGAAGCTAGTTTTGTTTTCTGAGAGATGGGATTTTCATACTTTGTTTAACAAATTATAGACTTGTGGTTCAAGTCCAGGATTGTAAAAATCTTTTATCTCTGGATTAGAGAATTTTGTTTTTTTCAACAGTTGTTCTGTGGAAGAAACTATTTGAGAATAACTCATAGGAGTCCAATCGTTTGGATCCTAAGCAAACTGAAAGTATTCTGGTTGAATCCTCATGAAAGGGGGTCGATAAAGAGGTTGTTGGTAGAGATATAATCCTTGGTTAGGATTATTGTAAAAATTAAATCCTTGGTTAGGATTTGTAGAGATCTGGGGTTTTGGAGAAGAAGAAGAAAAAGGATTTTTTACCTGGTTTCTTCTTTACAGTTCTCCATCCACCAGTATCATGGATTGGGTGTTTTCCTCGATCCATGAAGTCTACTTAGGAAGTCTGCAAGGAGATTTTTGTCTCCGTTGATGAACTCTACCTGAAAATGATAAGAACAAAGAAAATTGTACCACCTAATTCGCTGGGATTATCAGAAAGCTTTCTATTTTGGAGAAAGTTTTTGACTGCTTGGTTATCTGTTCGGATAACAAAGAACTCCGGGCTAAATAGATGTGGAATCGCTGTACACCATTTTTTATGGCTAATAATTCCTTTTCAAAAATAATATAATTTATTTCGTTCGGTTTGAACTTACCAGAATTATATCCACAAATCAATTCATCTTTTTGATGAAGATTTTTAGCTTTTAAGACACATCCCAAATGTTCATCACTGGCATCTGTCTCTAAAATTAATAGGTCACCTTGTTTAGGTAGATAGACCTTAGGTATAGTGGTTAAATCTGATTTGATCTGTTTGACAATATCAGAATCGTTAGGTGTCCAGACAAAATCATTATCTTTACGCAATTTACGCAAAAGATAGCTTTCCTTTTTGGAAAGGTTTTTGAAAAATTGTCTGTCATAATTAAGTATACCTAACAGCTGCTGTAGCTGTTTGACGTTATCCAGTTCTTCTGGAAAGTTTCTGATCTTGGAGATAATGTGATCCTGCAGGGTTAGTCCATTTGCAGAAAGATTAAGACCAAGAAATTCAATTTCGGTTTTTTCAAGTTCAACTTTTTTGGGACTTAAAATAATACCGTGTAAAATAAATTCTTGAGCAATAAGATTCAGGTGTTTCCTGTGCTCATTTAGAGTATTAGAAAAAACTAAAATATCATCAATATATACACAGCAAAATTGTTTATGTTTGCTGAAAATACTGTCCATCCAACGCTGAAAGATTTGAGGTGCGTTGCATAGACCGAAAGGCATAACAGTCTATTGGTAATGGCCTGCTGGTGCACTAAAAGCAGTATGAGGTTTTGAGGTTTCATTTAGCATGATTTGCCAAAAACCTGACTTACAATCAAATTTAGAAAAGTATTTAGCATTTTTTGCTAAATTAATTAAAACATCTTTACGAGGGATAAAATAGCCATCAAAAACAAGATTTTGGTTTAATTTCTTGTAATTAATAACCATACGGGGTTTACCTCGTTTAATCTCAGAATGGTTTCTTACCATGAATGTTGGACTGGAGTGTGGACTGGTAGTTGGTTCTATCAGACCTTTGTCGAGCAATTCTGAAATTTGAACTTCAAATTCATCTATATCTTGTTTGGTATAAATCATTGGTTTTACTCTGACAATTTTTTTTGGAGATTGAAGAGTAAGTTCACAGTATCTTGGATTGCGCTTCCAAAGCTTCAATTGGTCTTCACTGAAGTTTTCCTGTAAAATTCTATAAAGCCAATGTTTTTCATTAATAGCTTTAAGTTCAAAAATATGTGTTATTTCTGGTTGAAAACCATTATCACAAACATGATTGTGCTTGGATAATAAAGGAACATCTATTGATTTTTTGTCAATAGTAAAAACAAGATAATCAAAAAAAACTGAAAAGGGTAAATATTTATGTATAAAGTTATTTTCTAATAATATATCTCCATGCATATCAGGAAAACATAATATTTTAGGTATAACGAATTTTATATCGTTTAAGGCAACAGGTATATTCAAACCGAACTAAACGTTGCGATTTTGAATCGATTTTGTAAGAACTTTTTCTCTCAGCCCAATGGATGAAAGGTAGATCAGCAAGGCGGCAGTCGGGATAAATATTATGGAGTGGGAACTTGGAAATAGGAAGTGAGCAGTAGGCAGCTGTAATTAGGAGTTTGATAGAAGATGTAGAGAATTGGTTAGAGAAACAAGGGGATTTGTTGCCCAAAGTGAGCCTCAACGGACATAAACATCGGCTAAACGGTGCACTTAGTGCGACCAGAAGTGTTATCACCTCAGTTTTCATTAAAGATAATCGTGGTAAACACTAGGGTGATTGCTTGTTACAATGTAAGATTGTTATCGAGTGTAGAATTATTCACAATTGTTGTCCAATGCCCAACTTCAAAGTTAAATAAGAACTATTTTCATTTACATTTTGGTATGCAAATATGGACTGCGACAAACATTGTCATAAAAACAGCAGAAAACTGCCTGACATACAATGTTGATCACACAGGTATGTTGTGGTCACTACGAAGCATAACAGCCATCGCCTAAATACGTTGAACAAAGGAAACTGTCATTTGATTAAGTCTCTTTGTTTGTGTGATTTTATGTGATTGAACAAACATGTGATTTCCAAACAAGACCGTACCAACAGATTTTACCTTGGGATCCATACAATGATGCAGAACAATGGAGCAATTCAAGCATAGGGCCTTCTTTATAACATCTACAAGAAGAAAACAAAACATATGGGAAGTGAAACCAATCTGTACAGAAGCCGTTCCTGTACTCATTTGCAACTAAATCGATTTTCCAACTGTTTGACCAGATCTTCCTTTTTTAGGGCCCAGTATTTGTTAGCTTCTGCTCTTTTGCGATGGCCTTCAGGTCACACAACTTCAGTTTCATCAAGTTACTTGTATCAGAAGGCTGGGGTGCCACACCCTTTGTACAGGAATCAACATAAGCCTCTGATTTTGCAAAATCTGTCGAGGGTACTCCTATTTAGGTCCCCACGCAACTTTGACATGTTCATTTGAACAGATGAACCCCTGATCTCCACAACAATTGGTACACTAGAAACCTTTTTACATTTCTTTTGTGGCAGTGACATTGTATTCTGGCTAGCATCCAGCATCACGCTCCGCTCTTCATCTTCACATTGGCTATGATGAACTGTAGTGTTAATGATTTTCCCACTCAAAGAATGGTTTAAAGTATGGTTGTTAGCATCTTTCCATGGCCTTTTGCCTTTTGAAAATGAAGATCAGTTTGAAGCATTTTCCTTAGAATTTAAACCAGGTTCTTTGACACCGGCTGAAGTTGACTCCATATTTGTCTTTACTGTCATTACCTTTCCTCTTTGTGGCCTCATGTACAATTTCATAACAAGTTTGTCATCACTAGCAGCAATTTCAGCCATCTGAACTTCCTCCAGTTGTGGTTTTCCCTCCATACGTTGGATGGTTTCATCCTTTCCCCTCTCATCCTGCAGTTCTATGAGTGATAAAGGCAGAATGTTCATCGTCGCTCAGAGCAGCTTTTTTTGCATTACAACTTGTAAAGAGTCTTTTCTCTTCCCTTCTCCCTTAAATAATGAATTTGCAGTCCCTTTCTTGTCAGTTGAAGCAACCTTTAACTCTTTGATGCCTCGTTTATGTGCAGATTTCACAGCAAAGTCACATAGTTTTTGCTCCATATCACATTTTAGACTTTCAGCCAGTCCGAAAGCACCTAACTTGGAATCAGAACTATTTTCCTTCCCGTTGAGGCCAGTTGCATGTCTCAAAGTATCAGGACTATTAATTTTAACCACAGCATTTGCAGGCTGCTTGCAGAAAATGACATTATAAGCTCATCGACAAGGCAAGTTTAAGTTAGATTCAAATAAATGACTCACATTAGAAATTGAAATACTCATATGAAAACAACTGCTAGCCAAAGACATAGGTTTCTTTTCCTAAAATTGACAATTACAGAAATACATGAATTCCATGAGAGAGAAAGAGCTTATTGTACCTTATTTGCTTTCAGAATATTTCCTTTACGTTCAGGATTCAAATATGAATTTGAAATTTTACTTTTTCCAGTGGTAGCTGTATAACATCCTTGTACTTCACATCCATTAACTTTCAGATCACAGTTGCACAGCTTTTTCATCTCATTGGAGTGGCCTGTTGTCTGCTTATGAGCAATTAAGCCCAAATCTTTGGCAATAGTATTTGCAGGCTGCTCATCCTGAAAGGAGAACTGACAAGAATAAGTTAGGAAAGAATGCAACAGCCCCCTCAAGTGAGAGCAGCCATAATAGAATCAACCAATCTCACAGCTTGACACAGCGTGTTAAGTATAGCTATGAAGGAATCTGATGTCACATCACATTTTGGCGCTGACATGAATTAGATAGCTAGCCATACCTTCACTTTCTCACTAATATCTGCTCCCTTTCCCATTGAATTTGATGATGAATCTAGGATTAACATATCTGCTGCAGATATAGAAGTCTGCACTGTTGCTTCCTCACTCACAATAATCAAACTAGAAGCACTCAATTTTTTCTTGTTCAGATGGCTAACTGAATGTTTTGAAGCATCCAGGTCTGAGTTACTCACAAACTGTGCAGCCAGCTCCTGTTTAAGAGAAGCATACTCAATTTAATTTACTTGCAACACCAAGAAGAGAGTTACAATGCTACAGAGCATATGATTATATAAAAAACTGAATGAGAAAGAGTATATTGATATGATAGCATTTGTGAAGTTAACAAGGGTAGGAAACTGCAAAAGACCATTTTCTTACGAATTCACTGTAGTTTAAAAACCTAAAAAACAACATAAATCACAATCAATTCAGTTTTTCTCCCTGGTATCATCAACATGAACTCATTTTTTTGATTGTATCATGTGAGAGATGAACCTAATACAAGAGAACTAATATTCACTAAAAGTACCTTTTATATCAAGTAAAAGGTTAATTAAAACCACGAAAAGTACTTTCAAAGGTTCAAGTGCATTAACATTTAGCATTTTAATTATTAGGTCAGCCTCAATGAAATGATTACTTGTTGCTGCAGGATAGCATGTCTATCACCACAGTCAATAAAATCTTTTCAACAAATTTTCCTCAAGTTTGTCACCTTTTAATCAGAACTTACTGAATGATTTTTAATTGGATTATTAGACCAAAAAGAAAGGGAGAGAACTACCTCAATCTTAGTCCTGTCTAGGTTATGCATTCTCTTCTTTGCAGACTTTGATGCATGCTGGATCACATTTTTGTCTTTAAGAGTAAGACCACATTCTTTGATTCCTTGCTTCTTGGTTACAACTTCCTTCTCATCAAACTGACCAGCTGCTGGTGGCAGGGAATGTGTTATCAGATCTTTGACAATGGCATTTGCTAGCTGCTAATGATACGTTAGGACATCAAGAGGAGGCAGTAAGGCAGTGAATTTTTTTAAGGTAGTGCTAGTACAGAAAAAGAAATCAAGATGCATCTGCCATACGTAACTTATAGGGAAATTAAGCAGCCATGTTAATCTGCAAGGAATTTAAGGCTTCATTCTTTTATTTTTCTTCTCTTCTCCTTCTTTCTGTTTTATATTCTATTCTTTCCCATTTAAGTGTGCACTTCATATTTGCATGGTTATAAACATGCTTGGCTGAATATAATCTTGCAGCTTGCATAACAAAAAAATGTCTTTTACCACCTAAACTGACCTTGACCAGTCTATATTATTTACAACCTTGCAGAAAAGTTTATCTACCTCTATAGGAGCTGTTTGTACATATTTTTGCCTTTAAAAAATAAAAGATAGGCACTATATCATTTCTCTTCAGCTTTCTACACCCCAAAATCCCCATTATTTAGTAACTCAGATAGAAAAGACAATCACGCATAAACAGTACCATAACTTTTATTTTAGTGCTAAAATCAAAGTCAGGATACCTCTCCCCTTATTTTAACCATTTTCTCAACTAAATATATTTCTAACACTTAAGATCATTATAGCAAGTATATGTAGAATTTGTCAACATCTGAATCTAGTCCCTCTAAAGACCTTCCCAATCAATATCCTAACAAAACCTTAGCAGTAGCACAAAAGCAAAGACACAATACATTTTTACCATTTCAGCAATAATTACAAGCCTGAAATTATTTATGAATCTCCAAAGTGTGGGTAACTAGAATTAAACATGCAGGTGCATGCCCAATATTCTACATACAAAAGCTACAAACGTTTGAAGACCAACAATATCACACATAAAAATCTTATTTAAAGCCAGCAACATGTTATTACAAACTAATAATGAGTACTAAAATTCGATCTATTAAAAAGTTTGCATGAAAATTTCTAACAAAAAACCAACATTGGGCTATGACTGATACTACATCTACTGTCAATATGTGTGTGTGAGAGAGAGAGAGAGAGTGATGAAACATTTAAAGTGGCTCGAAGCAGGATCAAAGTAGGGAAACAAGGCAAGTTTTCATATTAATGTAACGGCTACCCTTATACAGCCCTCAGTGGCTGTATTGCCATAATGCCCAACTATTTCACCTACAATGACAGCGCAATAGTTGGAGTTCTCTGCTCATATGTATATGGATGAATAAATTGATCTTTGATAATATATTAAGATATGTTTTAGCATGCGAGGATAAAGCTTCATGTAACTTAACTGTTTCTGAACAATTTGCTCTCTTCACTTCAAGCTCCGTAGATGGATTTGAGGAAGTACACTTTTCTTTTGGAGTAACACTAGGTCCATTGAATTCCTCCTTTGCAATGAAACATGAATTTGAAGTGCTTGATTTTTGGTTCTTATGCAGGGCAGCCAACAGCTCAGGAGAACCAGACCTTGAATCCAAGACAACAACATCCTGAGATTGCTCATTCTGGAAAGGAAAATTCTTAGTTAATGAAATAATGCATAAAAGAAGCGGTTATTAGAAGGAAAAATTAAATAAGTAAAAGATACAAAACTACAGGAAATACAAAGACAACCAATCTGCTGACAACAAGAGTCATTCATGCTTATCAAGTTCCACAATGGTGCAAAAGCACTCCAAATAAATAAAGCACTAAAAAATACTTCACCTCTATTTCAGTCTATTAAAGGTTCTCCATTCTCTTTCCTTCCAAGGTGACCAAGGGTAGCAGAAAAATTCAAGATGACTACAACTCTCTGACATCTAGACAGTGCTAAACCTACATTAAGAACAAATATGAAACAACACTAGTGCCAGCAATTGACTGACGTGTCCAGTCAACATAACTTAAAATGCCATGCAAAAAACCATACTATGGTACACAATTTTGGTTGAAAATGTAGAGTTAAGAGAGACAATTTGTATAACTCAACATAAGATCAGAATCTCCTGGCATTATTCCCTTTAAGTTCAGAGTTGAATCACATACATGGCAAATTAGTAAAAGAATAATGAAAAATATTAGAGTCAAACCTGCTATTTTTCTCATGGTAGAAACTTTTGAGTAGAGCCTTCCCTACTTCATCCAATTTTTCAGCAGGTTCTGTATGCATCAGTAAATAAACCTCAATGTCACTCTCATCCTTGTTCCTCAATTTCCTTATTGAGATATCAAGGCAATTGATCTTTGCTCTCAAAGCATTGCAGCGGATGTCAGACGATTCTTCATGTTCAGCCCAGACCAGTTCACTTTGGAGGAATACCAAATCTTTTTCAAGGTCATCAATTTCAGTATCTGCTTTTGTAATCAATATCCTCAGCACTTGAACACAAGATTTCTCATTCAAGGCATTTTCTTCAATCATGTCTACAGAAACCAAAAAAAAACTCCATAATTACAGTAATAACAAAAGCAAAGAAACAAACTGTACCAACCAGAATTACAACTAAGATAGGAGCATTATTATACCGAAGCCATAACGAAAGTAAAAGTCATACTGCCATTCTGGTTGTACGCAACAGCTGCTTTCTCCTGCATATTACCCACACTCAGTCAAATTACACTAAAAAACAATGATCAAAGTAACAATGCATCATAAGTACAAATTCGAGAAACAACAAAGCACCTTGAGGGAATGATGGGCCCCAGAAGTCGCAAGCCATAAATTTCTTATATGGGTATCCGGAAATGCAAACAATGCAACATTATGATGCTTTCAGAACACGAGACAGCGCAATAATGATTGACTACACAATAAAACGGAAAAATGTTATCAATTGCTCCGATCGCTAATTACAGAGCCCATAATTCAATTTACAAGTTCTTTTTCTTTTTTTTAACAAAGATCAAGGAGCCGTTACCCCAGTCCTTAAATTTCCACCAATAAAATCAAAAACTCATTTTCTGGTGACAATCATAACAATCCACCAGGAAAAAAGAAAAAATAAAATCAATGCAAAGTAAACATGATTTAACAAGCTACTATTAAGAACGACAACATAAACAAAATTAGCCCACAAAGATGTAGACCTTTTTTTGTCCTCAAACAACGCGAAATATTAACGAATAGCAACACTTGAGCCACCAAAAAGAAAAAAAAAAGTAAAAAAGAATGTTAAGTTTTAATTACCTTAACTAGCTAGGAAAATCACCTTCATTTAAACTGTGTTCGCTCACGTGGATTTAACGACAAAAATTCATCAATATTCAAAATAAAACAACTTCCTTTTCCATTTAGAGGAGAAATTTAATGATCAAACAACACAAAACTTCGAAGAGAAATCCATGGCTCAAACAATACAAGAAAACTAAATGCTATATAAAACAAGGAACCATTTCCAAACAAAATATTAGAGAAGAAAACGCGACAGAAATGGAAATGTGGCTTTTTACTCGAACGCCTAACAGTACCTTAAATTTGCAACAATGAATCACAATGAAAAGAAGAAACGACTCAGCTTCCCTGATTGACCCCTGCAGTCATACTCTGGCATTTTCTAGGGTTTCGAGTTCTCAAAATTCTGGAGAGAAAAAGTGAACGTTTGAGTGTGACTGTCACTGTGAGAGAGAGAGAGAGAGAGTGAGTGTGCAGAATTGTGTGCGTCCGCGACTTAACAAGGGAGAAAAGGCAGGTACTGAAAGCGACGAACGTTTTCTTTACAAGAGAGAGAAACAATGATACCTGAAGGCCGAAAGGGCGTAATCCGGAAATATGACTTTTCAGGAGGGCAAACTTGAAATAACAAATACGGGTGTCCCTTGTTTCAATTGACCATTTTTGGCTTAACCGGCTGCCCGTGTACCGCCCATTCGTTGACTTCTACAAAGGCATATCGGACGGTAGCGAAATGCCTCAATTTCGTGGGGTCCACACGATGTAAATTCAAAAGTGTTCATATACTGCCGTTCGGACTTTATAACCGTCATTTTATTTCTCAATCTTACTCGAGGAACCCTATTTCACATTGAGTCTTGATTTTGACGGTATGTGTCTCTGCAAGATCTGGTCGCTTCTACACAGTAACATATCCGTTCAATAAAGGCCTGGTAAAATAGTAAATAGATTGCAAAAGACGAACATCTTGCAATGTACGAAACTTCGGTCAGTAATACTGACCCATTGGCTAAGATAGTGTTAGAGTCACGAATCTAATCAAGAGTCTTGAATCTCATATCGAATATAATAAAAAAGTTATTGACGTATATAAGGGTTTACATCATTTTTATCTTGTGAGACATTTTTTGTAGGATAAAATCGTGAGGTTAAGGAGATCAGAGTGAACAATACCTCATAAGGATGTAAATCGTGACATGAAGGTTGATCTGAGACGTTGGATGAATGAATACTCAGGTCCTGAAGCCGCGCGGGTTCGAAGTTTAAGTCTCGATCCGTGACAAGTGGTATCAGAGCCAACCCTAAACCGTTCGATCCACGTTAAGCATCTCGAAAGAAGTAGGCAAGATAACTAACTTCCGTGTGACGAGAACGTCACGAGATTGGATGCGAGAGAATGTCACGGATTTAATAAAGAGTTTTGAATCCTACATCAAATAAAATAAAAAGATCACTGGGGTATATAACTCATCTTGTGAGACATAATGTCACGGATTTAATAAAGAGTTTTGAATCCTACATCAAATAAAATAAAAAGATCACTGGGGTATATAAGTCATCTTGTGAGACATCTTTTATAGGATAAAATCATAAAATTAGAGGACCAAAGTAGATAATACCTCATAAAAATATGAACCGTGACAAAAAAATAGATCTAAAACGTCGGATGAGTAAATACCTAAATCTCAAAATCGCGTGACAAAAAAATAAATCTGAAAGATCGGATGAGTAAATACTCAAATCTCAAAATCACGTGGATTCGAAGCTTAAGTCTCGACACACGTTATATCTTCCCTCCCCTTTTTTTAGGTTCTGTCCCATTGAAAAAAAAAAAAAAATTTTTACTGAAAACACTCCCCATGTTTTGCTCTGCCCCCTAAAACCAAAAAAAAAAAAAGAAACTTCTTCGTATTTTACTGAAAACCCTCTCCCTTTTGTGCTCTGCCACCTTGAAGCAAAAAAAAAAAACCCCTTTTCGTAGTTTTCTCTTGGATTAGGGTTTCTTCATACTTTTAACAGGGAAATTTGAAGATCCAATTTGTTTTCGTTTATCTCCTTGGCCAGGGTTAAACCCTAGAAGACTCCTCGCGAATCCAGATGGTTAGTTTTCTTCTTATTATAATTTCCTTTTTGCCTTTAAGTTTCTCGGAACGCTTATTTTAGAATTTCCTTTCACCTTCTATTTTTTTTACTGGTTGATTTACAGGCAACTCTAGCTGATTCATTTCTTGCGGACCTTGACGAATTATCGGACAACGAAGCTGATGTTCTTGTGAGTTGAAATCATACTTCTCTTTCCTGTGTGAATTTGTGTGAATTTCAGAGTTTTTTCCTCAACTAAGGCACTCATTAACCTAATTTACTAAGTTAGAGTTGTTTTAAACATAATTCCTAAATTGTGGTAGTATGTACGTATAGACTCCACCTCAGATAAAAAAAAAAAAAATTTAATTAAGTATAATCCTCTCAAAATTCAATTAGAAAGGATTTACGCTTCTTCTTTATTATTAACAAAGATCAATCTTTTGGAATTTTAAATGAGAAATCAATTTCAAGATCCTAAAGCTCTAAACACTAAGTTAAGGTGGGATAGAAAACCCATCTTTATCCAGGAGACTGAACTGGGTTATGCGATAATAGGAGAATTGAGAGGATATCAGACTCTGATAATGGTAATTGGGTTTCAATTCTAGCTAGCGGGAGATCAAGAGTGTTTTTATCAATAGGGGAAAATGGTTTCTTTAGTAAGAGCTCAGGTATGATCAATTATAGCTATATAAGGTCTATGATTGATTTGCTCTTATTAGGGGAATGGATCTTATATATATTTTATTACTTTGTGGTAAATGTTTGGTTTCATGAGATTTGGTTGATAATTAATTGATGTTAAGGGGTGGATTTTTGGAATTTGAGGCTGTAAAGGAAATTTAGGTTTGCTCTAGGTTGTGATGTTTCATTTCAATAATTGTGATAAATTTGATAGGTGATTGAGTTAGCTAATTTTGCATACAACAGATTGAGTGGAAAAGAATTTTCATGATGATCTTGGGATGGAAGTGAACTTTGGCTTGGATAATGGAAAATGATAAGCTTCTAAGGCAATTGTATTTAATTTCTTCTTGAAGTTTGCTGCGACCCCTGTTTTCTGGATCAACATCTGGATTATTTTGAGTGCTATCTCGCGAAATGGACATTGGGATGTTGGGAGGTTGCATAATGAGGCTTATGGAGAATATCAATTTGCTATGCTGTTTTCTAGATGTGTCAAGAAAAGTTTCTATAGAGGGAATGATTTGCAATGCTCCTTAATACTATCCTTTTTTTTATCTTTAGTGGAATCAAAAGTATCATGTATGTTCTCATGACATGTCCTTTTTAAAAGGTTTGAGTTTAAGGTTGGTTTTGAGTTAAAGGAAAACAAGGTAAGGTAATATGTGTCGGGGAATTAAGGGATTATTCTAGTTGAGTTTTTGGAATTTTTTTTTTTTTTGGATTGCTTGGCTTACAAGATGTTAATATTGCTGATATCTAGGTAATTATAATGGTGCTGCAGGTTTTTCAAAGTCTTCTTGGTTTAAAAAGTGTTCTTTTTTTTGCTGATTCTCACTCAATGATAGCATTATCTTGGGTCTATAAAGTTTGAATTCAGACTTTGGAAGAAATGGGACACTATGAATGAGATTGATAAGCTTAGTAAGAAGATTGGAGTGAATTGATTTTGTTCATATGTTTAGAAAAGCTAATGTTTTGCTAACTCTTTAGCTAAGTTGGGTGGATTGAGCTGGTTTCTTTTTTGTTTGGTTGTAAGCTATTTTGATTTTTAGAGGAAGATTTGGTATGAGCTGTTGTTGGCTTATTGAGTCTTTGTTTTGCTGATCTTTTTGAATCAGGCTTTTATGTATTGTAATTGCTGACTTTTTATGAATAAAAATGATCTTTATGGTTGAGAAAAAAAAATTAGAAACAGAAACCAATATAGTAGATTGTTTTAATTAGTGATGCAAAATCCTCGTATATTTTTATATCAATTTTCTTCCTGTTTCATGTTCTTTTTTTTTTTTTTTGAAACAATTGATTTGTAATCTTCAAAGATCAAGCCTTTTACTTTATTTCAAAACCTCACCCGCGTCCACAAAGGCTATATCTAGGAAATAATTTGCATAATGGTGATTTTTTGCTTTCACTGTCAATGAAAGAGAACTATTCAAATGATCTGGTCAATGGGTATTTTTATTATTTGAAATTTTTTAAGGCATCTTCTTATTATGAAAGAGAATTATCCATTGCATACAGGAATTGCTGGATTTAGAAGGAGAACAACAAAGCTTAATCAAGAGTGACATTAAATTGTTTTGTATTTGGATTTTTTTCGTTATACTTTCTCAATATTTCATTTTTGGATGCTATTATTTCATTCTTAGCCAATTTCCTTGCTGTTGACAAAAGATAAAAATGAAAGAGAAATTAAATAGTCACAGACTCACCGAAATCGTAGGAAGCTAGAGAAGAGGGGGATTGAAGAAAGAAAAGTGATGTGGAATTTTTTTGCTGACAAGGATTTAACTGTATAACACTACACGCTTTTGGGAATAAAGTCTAAAAGCACACCACTCAAGGAAATAAGATTACAAAATACCTTTGTTTGGGAAAAAACTCGTGAATTTCAGCTTTTTTTTTTAATTGATAATTAATATTAACAGTTCTTGTGAGTTGAAATCATACTTCTCCTTCCTGTATGAATTTCAGCTTTTTTTTTAATTGATAATTAATATTAACAGTTCTTGTGAGTTGAAATCATACTTCTCTTTCCTGTGTGAATTTCAGCTTTTTTTTTTAATTGATAATTAATATTAACAGTTCTTGTGAGTTGAAATCATACTTCTCCTTCCTGTGTGAATTTCAGCTTTTTTTTTAATTGATAATTAATATTAACAGTTCTTGTGAGTTGAAATCAATACTTCTCCTCC